AAAAAAAAAAAAAAAAAAAAAAAAAAAAAAAAAAAAAAAAAAAAAAAAAAAAAAAAAAAAAAAAAAAAAAAAAAAAAAAAAAAAAAAGAAAGGAAAGGTCCTGCCCGGGATCGAACCGGGATTACCAGATGTGACTCGGATTGGTATCAGAGTCTGATGTCATAACCATTAGACCACAGGACCTGATTGGTTGAAATACGACTGCAAATGTTGACACTATAAGACCGAACTAATTGTTTTCTCCATCTCCTGCCCTCTTGTCCTCTTGCAACCTTTACACATATACTTGCACTTTGACTCTTGACACTCCAGCAGTCACCAGGGAAATAATCGCAGAATGCAGATATGGCATGCATGCTGATCTACACCTTACTTATAATCTATTGTTCTCTCCGGTGCACATATTTTTCATATTACCTTGTTCTGTTCAAGCTGCCTCTAGTATATATATGTGTACCGCTCCCCTGGATCGCCCCCGCATCAAGCCCAGCAATGCGCTGCACATCCTTGGAATTAGATAGAGCATAGGAAAGTCTGGCGAGGCGCAAGCTAGGGTCCCTTGCCTGATTATTAACTCTGTATGCGCCCTTCATAGAAAAAAAAAAACAAGCCGACTATTGCGCCTGGCTGCAGAGTGTCAGATGACAACCCTCCACCGATAGTTACCAAGCAGACCGCCACTACTAAGTATAAGTACTACTAGTACCATCTAGTACGAGTAACTTGCAATACTAACGAGGAAGCATTACCTTGAATATGCGCTCGGTTCACTGTCGACTCCATTCCGACACATGTTGCCACGCGCATACTTCGTGTCAAAGTACACAGCATCCCTAAGCACCACAGACCACATGCACCGCAAAGGACCACTTGGAAGGTAGCCGTGTTCACTGTCGAATCTCACAGGCATCGACATTTCACCGCTGAAGGAAGGAACTACATGGCGCGACACTCAAGACAGAGCCAGCTTGAGTTTCCAGTAACCAATAACAAAGACGATACCGCACCCAAAATCTGTACACCATCCCCCATCCCGCGTCCCGTCCATAGCGACGCAGTACACTACATCTAAGTAGCACTATGATAACGGGTGCCGGGTCGGGCAAGCATAACAGGCAGTCACCTCGTGCACCTTCCATCCAAACAGCCCAATCGCTGACCGTCCATACTATAGACATTACCACAGTAAGACAGCAGGAGCAAAAAGGGCATGGCAGCATCGGAAAAGCAAAAAATTTCTGATTAAGCCCGCGGAGGAAAAATAAGAAGGTCCTGCCCGGGATCGAACCGGGATTACCAGATATGACTCGGATTGGTATCAGAGTCTGATGTCATGACCATTAGACCACAAGACCTTGAATTGTTGAAAACGCCGAATTATTTTCGGCCATATAAGTCAAGATATAAAGCCATATACAGAAAACGGAAAAAAGACCTGAGCCTTACCAACAGACAGGCCGAGTGTGTGCCAAAGAAAAAGATGGATGGATGAAACTTTCAGGTTGATTGAACCTTAAAAGGAGGCTCAAAACGCTTGCGACAAATTCAAAAAAAGAAGATGAGGTCCTGCCCGGGATCGAACCGGGATTACCAGATGTGACTCAGATTTGATATCAGAGTCTGATGTCATAACCATTAGACCACAAGACCTTGCTTGATGTCCTTCTTCGCAAATACATGACCTACATAAATGGAATGCTTTTGTCAGTTAGTCCATCCATGTCCCATGCTTAAAACTTCCTCACCGGCCACACATCCAAAAGCTAATGTACTAGAGACAAGCAGGCCTTACTAAACCGAGCTTATTTCTGGCCGATACCTGAAGTAGGCTGAGATGATTAAACTACACATGTTAGACTTTCCACAACCATGGTAACTTCTAGTAGGAAAGGTTTACCCTTTCACTGTAACTTTCTTCAAGGTTCGCCGACGCCAGCCCTAAATCAACCTCACCAGTCATTCTGGCCAAACCATCCTTGTGTAGAAGACAGTTGGTAGATTGAATTGACTGAATTACATTTACTCGAGACAGGGATTCGTTATGCTGATTTGAACAGTACATATTCATCCCGCCAACTACGCCACATACTGGTATCGATTTCCCTCCTCGCGCTCCATGTAGTCCTTCTCGATTAACCTGTGCACCAATCAGCATTAGTGAAAAGCCCCCTTCTTTAGTACAGGAATCACGAGGAGAAAAAAGGCAGTTAAACTCACTTCTCAATATTCTTTTTGATATCACTTGGATCCAGCACCCCCCGACTCCGCGTTGCCTTGATAACTTCAGCGACAACCTCCGAATGCGTTATCGTCTTGCGACTCTTCATGATCCGCACAATTGCCGCTTGGGTTTCGTAATGCCGATCCGCAGCAACGCGCTCGTGAGTAGTCTTATTCTCCTCCTTCGTCTCCTTGAGCTGGATCTGGTTGATTTTGATGCGCATCTTGGGATCCGTGAAGTTAGGGTTGTAGGCGAATTCGTCTCCGTCGTTGACATCTCGGCCTTTGGGTTTCTTGGTGAGGACGCGGTACTTGGCGCAGGCGAGGGATTGCAGGGTTCGCTTTAGTTCTTGGTCGGCTGGAAACCATCGTTAATGATATTCTGAAGAGAGAATATTCGCGATTTGGGGGTGGGGAGGAATTACTTAGTGCTGTGGCTTCTTGGATTTGGCGATAGTTCAGAATACCGCCGTCGGGGATATCGTTGAAGAGGAGTAGGACGACGGCCTGGAAGGAGCTGACGACTAGTTCCTTGTTACCTTTCGGGAATCTTGATCGGATCTGGCAGTGTGCCAGTTGATGTTTCCAGGCAAGCTTCCGGCCGTTGTATTTCGTGTCGTAGAACTTCTGAAAGTCGCTGATCGCAGTTGATATCTCAGGTGGTATCCGGACTTGGACATCTGGGTATGATGGCCACGCAGATGCCGAGAGTACGCTGACGTGTAGATCCACAGGCAAGGGAGTTTGCCGTTCCCGTTGGATGGAGCTGTATGCTGCCATCTCGTCCCGGGCGACTTCCATATCCTTGAACATGGATTCTAGGTTGTGTGTGAAGCTCGATCCGCACTCTAATTCCCGCAGTTAGCTATGGTAGACGACTGGATGATGGGCAGGAACAGACCTGTCTTGAGCCTTGCTAGCATGCTTTTCTCCGCATCATCACTGGCGCTTCTGCCCATCAATAGACGACGCGCAAGATCGTTCTTATAGAAAGCCTCGAAGACCGCTTTGCCATGGACAAAACGGAAGAGATCCAATACCTGGTCCAGCTGTCGGTTAATCTCTGCATCCTCATCTGCCAAAGGCACATTTTCCGCATCCCGCTGAGGAGCCAATCTCCATCCTCCCCGGAGAAGTTTGTCAACGTATTTGGCGATCATTTCCCCAGTCTTTGGATTGTCGGTACCGCCGCTGGATGCCGACTTCCTGCCTTTGTTCATGAATGTCTCAAAGGCCTCGCGGAGGGTGTGACCGAGCTCCTCATTTCGACCGAAAGATCCATTCCAGACATCATCAAGTTGTTTCTTGAAGTTCAGCAAACGCGCCACCATTTCCGACTCCTTCTCGTCGTCGAAAACAATGCTGGTGCCCTCTTCTACAATGTATGCACTGAACGCGCCCTTGAGCTCGGCCCCGAGCTCTCTTCGCTCGAGCAGTGTATAGAGTTGTGCTAATGCAGCTTTATTTTCCACCCGTAGCAAACCAATAATGTCCTTTTGACTTAACAAGACATCTCTTTGCTCTGTTACCAGAATTTGATCGAGTAATTCGCATAATTTCTGTTTGGTAGTCCGGTTAAAGGAGAATTGCTCACACCGGTTCACCTCACGCTCAATCAGGACATGGCTATTCTCTACATAGGAGGCCAAGTATCCTGACGCCTCCTGCTGAGCCCACAGCGTAAAGAAATCCTTCGAGTCCGAGACCAGGACAGGTTCGAAGCCGGAAAGATAAACATCCAGACCATGGAATAGGTCGATGGCACTTCGTAAAAGGGTCGAGTCAGCAAGGGCGCTGTGTTCGATGCTGCGGTCTGCCGCGACAAGATCACAGGCGCCTTGGAGAATCTTCGGTCTTAACGTAGCATCAAAATATATGTGCTGCCGGAATTGTATGAGACCCATTTCGCGAACGACCGGGTATTCCTTTGAATGAAGGAGGAAGGATTGGTCAAGGTAGTAGAAGATCCACCTTATGGTGACCTGGTAGGAAGGGGGTCAGTCGCGGTCCGCCCATGATCCGAAAATTGACATACCAGCATTGACTGCCACACTTTCCACGCTTCGACAACAGACCTCAATGCTTCGATGTTGGTTCCAGTTCGCGCCTTGTCAACTAAGACATCATGCAGATTTCCCGCGACATGCTCCCGACATCGCCCTTGAAGCCGCTTGGAAAGCACCTCAGCTCGCCCTTGACGACACACATTCTCCGCGCCTTTGTACAGTTCCTCGAGCGATACCTCTGGTTTCCCACCTTTGAAAATTGCAGATAACGCCGCATCCAACTGACCCCAGACTTTATCGAAATATAAATCTTGGTTCAAGCGTGTCCCTGTTCGTAGGTTCTTCACAACCAGCCGTTTCGGGCCGGTATGCGGTGTAAAATTACTCTGATGTGCCGGTGCATTGCCAGGACGAGCTTGGAGGGCAGGATTCGACGGGATGGGGCCACCGGCAGCGGGTCCGCTCGGTTCGCTCGATCTGGATCCGGCATTTGGAAACATGTACATCTCGCCGGAGCCGTGCTGCGTTGTTGGGAACGCTCGCGCACGCTTGTGGGTAGGGGACGGAAGTTGTGGTTCGTCGTGCGCTTGGTTTCGGTGGAGGAGTTCCGAGATGGTTGCTTGCTGATGCTGAGGCTGCTGCGGAGATTCCCCGTAATCTGTGTTATTCTTCCTCTTGCCAGTAAACTTGCGCTTACCGCTCCTTTGCTCGGTGGCGCTCTTCGGATTCTGCTGCATCTACCCGGTTCTATCCCAGTCGAGGGCAAACGAGAGGAGCATTCAGAGTTGGAAAGATCCGAAAAGTCCCGGAAGCATCGAGAACATTGCAAATGCTTTCCAATCTCAGGAATGACTCGATAGAGCGATCTTAGTATGTGTCGAAAGATCTGAGAGTTGACAACTGGGAGGATAACGTGAGAGGGACCTCCGCAGTTTGAATGGACGTTGGAATCGGAGATAAGATACGGTAATACTGGATGACATAAGCTACATAGAAGCAATCCACAACTACGTCAGCCAACTAGTAGTACTGCCTTATACTGTACTATTGCTACGTTTTTGCAGAGAATCATGATGATTATTCTCGTGTAATTTTTTTGTAATGCTGTATAGTTCAGGAGTGTGATGTATAGTAGCCAAACCCATATGCTAATCCCATAAATACACCACCGCCCTTCCGACATCCCAAGTCATCCTTATGCAAAACCAGGCTCATGAAAACAGCTTCGGCCCAATGTGTTCCGTGACTTCATTTTCTTCAACCTGCGACGTAGCGAGTCAGTAAAGAAGTGGATGGCAACAATGGATGGGATACTCACCTCCAAAAAGTCCGTCGCAGCGACAAGAGCCGTATAAGACTTGGCAATGCTGGTCAGAGCATCGTGATGGCCAGGGGCAGCGGCTCCGCCAATCTTGGCAAATCGCTTGAATATGCCAACCATGCTCTGCCTGTTCTCCGTAAGAAAGGCCCGAGTCTGTTCTAACATCTGCTCGTTGTGGAGCCCGCGAGAGAAAGCCGCGGTGGCAATCACACGGAGAACGGAGTCGAGAAGGTCGTAGTACTTGCGGAGTGCGTCGGGGTTATCGATGTCTGTGAATGTTAGGCACGGCTCTGAGCATATTAGAAGACTACATGAACACATACCGATGCCAAGGTCGGGGTCCGCGGCGAACAGGTGAGACTCGCGCACTGCCTGGAAGAGCCCAGCCTTCAACACTTGTGTTGCCCCCGGCTTGGTCTGGCATAATTGTTGTAGCAACGACAGTAACGACTCGTAGTAAGATAAGAGTAAGGGAGTTTCTTGAAACCAATTGTTAGTGATACTCATGGTAGACACATTGGAACTCTTACCGTTGGCTTGGGCGTTCTTTAGCTCGAGTGGCAACACTCGAATGCTGTCTAGGAATAGACTCAGGTAGTTCGACTGGGATATTGACTCGGCCAATACCGCATCTGCATACCTATCCAGCGTGGCTAAGAAGTTGAGCAATAGAAGGGCGGATACGCGGCATGTCTCCTGACCGCTATAGGCATCATCACAGATAGCCTCGACCAGAGCGCGACCTGACGACCTGATAACTTGCTGGCTGTGATGCCTCATACTCTCATTTCCAGTGTCTGGAGAGACGATACGGGAAATATAGAGCGAGCAGATGTTGTAGAAGGTCTCTTTTAGTTGAACGTTCCCAGTGACCAGGATAATGCCCCGAACACAAATCTGGAATAGTTGATGAAGCTTCTCATCAACAATATCCCCATTACGTCTGGAGGGAGCCAATTCAGCTGAACCTGACTCCAAGTTATCGAGAAGTGTTTCGGCCAATCGAGCCAGCTCGACGCCTTCAGGGAGGTTCTCCTCGATAGCGGCCTCTAGCTTCGGTAGGATCAACTGGATGGCATGAAGAATGAAAGTCAACTTTCGCC